CGCCGCCGCCGCCGCCATCGTCGTCATCCAGCGGCGGTGGCGCCAAGGGCGGATCCAAGCCTCAAAGCTTTTCTGACGGCGGCGTTGCGTCCAAGGCGGCAGCCGCGGCGGCGACGGCGACGGCGCGGGGTTCTGGGTCCGGCGGCGGCAGGGGCGCCAAGGGCGGCGACGGCTCCAAGAAGAGCGGTGTGCCCATCATTATCGTACCCTCGGGTAAGCCGTCTCTTTACCGCCGTCGAAAAGGGGAAGAGCACATTTCCTGCTTTGGACTCCAGTTTGCGAATTTGGGTATTGCGGTATGTATGTATGTATGTATGTCGGGGGTATTATGGCTTCCGACCTCTTCCTCCTGGGGGGGATGTCAACGAGACCACAACCACCTCCTCTTACAGCTCCCCCAACGACACAAACCCTCAGACACCTTAGCCCATTTCTCCACCCCTCCCCATTACCTATTACTTGCCGTACTTCCGTACTCACGTAGGTTTGACCTCCATGATCAACATGTACAACGCCAGGGCGTTTTTGGAGGAGGGCCGGTTTGTGCCGGCAGCGCAGGTGAGGGGAGGGAGGGGAGCGCTAAGGGTATATGTATGAATGCATGTATATATATGTAGATATGTATGTGTATGTAGATATGTATGCGTACGTATATGTATATGTATATACATTACATATATACATATACATATACATATACATATACATATACATATACATATACATATACATATACATATACATATACATATACATATACATATACATATACATATACATATACATATACATATACATATACATATACATATACATATACATATACATATACATATACATATACATATGTGTGTATGTGTGTATGTGTGTATGTGAATGTGTACGCGCGAGTGGGATTGCAAAGGGTAGATACTAGCTATCAAATTGAACTTCTACTAACTACTGGACGGGGCAAGAGGCCCAAGGCACAAAAATGATGTCAGTGGTCCAGTATCCCGTTTCCCCCGGTCCCCCCCCCCCCCGGGGGGGAGGGGGGAAGAGTCCCCAGCACGTACCAAACCCGTGCACAGCTACACACACACACACACCACAGCCAGATACCCACCCACCCGTCTCAACCTCCCGCCCTCAGGCCCAGGCCGCTGCCAGTGGCGCTCCGAAACCCAGCTCTCTCACCATCCGCCGTACGGCCCACCGTGGTCCCCCGGGTGTGGAATACACCCTGACGGACCGGGCCCCCCCCGCCGGCAGCCCCGACTGGGAGCGGGTGGTGGCGGTGGTGGTCCAGGGGGCCAAATGGCAGTTCAAGGACTGGCCGTATAAGGTCGGGGTGGGTGAGGGGAGGGGTGTGTGTATGTGTATGTGTATGTGTATGTGTGTGGTGTTGATGGTGGGGAGCTGGAGGTGCCCTGGCTGACTGTTGTCATCGAGTCTGGGTATCCGGACGACTTGTACAAGTACTTTGATGGTTTCAGAGGTTTGACAATCGATCCGTCACCGTCCCATTCCCCTCTCTCTCTCCGTGCGAGCCGCCAACGCCGGCATTGATGTGTGTGCTTTATATTTTTGCATCGGGGGCTGCTCTCCCCCCAAACCCCCCCACCCCACCTCATCCCAACTCCATCCCGTAACCCCTTCTGAACCTCTCCACCCACCTCCACCCATTCCAAACCCCCCCAACTCCCCCCTCCCCCCCCCCCCTCCTGTCAGGGCGCCAAGGACGGCGACCTGATGGAGGCTCTGGCCAAGGTGTGTGGATTCTTTGTGCACTTCGCAGACGAAAAGGTATGACATGGGGGAGGGGAGGGGGAGGGGCGGAGTGTGTGTGTGTGTGTGTGTTTAGGGATTGTTGAGAAGTAGGCCAGCCCGGGAGCTGGCGAAGGGGGCCCGGCGCCTGCTGGTGGCCGCTAACTCTTCCCCTCTCCTCCTCTTCCCCCCCTCCGTCTGTCACCTAAACACCGCGTCCTGTTTCCGACACCCTCCCCCCAACCCCACAACATGCCATGCCTCGCCTCACCTCGCTGCCTCGGGCTACCGACGGCTGGACGTTTTCGTGTCTTCGCTGAACTCCCACAACCATTCAAAAACACACACCCTCTCAAACGCTCTCATATGCACACACGTGCGCGCGTATTCCCCCGCCCCTAGGTTGGACCCCCCGTATCCGACTGGAATGTTCGTACAATAGCCCTCCACCGGGAGAACCGGCACAAGGACATGATGGCCATGTTGGAGCTGTACCGCCACTTGGACGTCTTCCTGCAGGTGTGTGTGTGTGTGGGGTGGGGTGGGGTGGGGGGGTTGTGTGTGTGTTGGGAGGGGTTGTTTCGGAGGGAGATGTATTTGGATGTGTATAGTGGGGGAAAAGGGGAGGGGGGAAAGGGGGAGTGCGGGGGAAGCGGATTGATCGGGTATGGGTGTATGGAGTGTGTTTTTTGTGTGTGCGGGGGGGTTATGGGCTCCCGTCGTATGTGTGTCAGTGTTTGTGTGTGTTTGTGTGTGTGTAACGTGGGCATGCGGGGGGGTTGATATCATTCGGGTGAGGTGGCTTTACTGCGCCCAGCGCCCCCAGTGGAGGGACACGCGAGCACCCGCAGCACCCGCAGCAGCAATAACAACAGCAGTATCATAAGTAACAGTAGCACAACAGCAGCAGTAGCTTGAGGACGATATGCACTCTCTTATTTGCGTGTGTGTGTACGTGTACGTGTATGTGTGTATTTTGTTGTTTTGCGTGTCTAAGGTGCAAAGGTGACTTGCAAACAATCCACTCCAGACAACAACACGATCCAGAGAGGGGGGGCCCGAGTGCCGGGGGGGGGCCACGGGGGTTGGCGCCCGCTTGCCGGGGATAGTTCCAATTGTAGGAGGCTAGGAAGACACACGCACACGCACACACACGCACACACACACACACACACACACACACACACGCACGCACACACGGGAGGGACAGTTAACGGCCCGCATGTTAGGGTGGTGACCTAGGTGGTTGGGGAAGAACCCCCCTCCAGCCTCCACGTGGGCCTCTTAGCTGGTGGTGGTGGTGGCCACCGTCTAGTTCCCGGGGTGGTGCCCCGGGAGATATTATTTATCGGGTGGTGGTTCACCCGAACCCCCTTTGGTATTCCTTGCCAGATCGTCCCCCTCCTCGTTGTGCTCCACGGGGGGCCCACCCCCTTGCCGCCGGCCCTATATCACCCCCCCTCTTGCCTCTGCGGGACTTCTGTGTGTATGTGTGTATGTGCGTGTTACCCCCCCCTCTCTGTCTCCGTCTCTCCCCCTCCGAGGTATGTGTGTGCTGCTCAACTTTCCCTCCCTCTGTGTGTTTGTTTTTCCTCCTTGCGTGTACATGTACATATGTATGTATGTACGTGTCTCCCGCGGACCTCAGGCCAAACGGAGCACGCTGGCATATTGACATCGTAGGAAACGTGTGTGCGTGTGTGTGTGTGTGTGTTGGTTTCTTTGCACCGACCTTAACTACTTGATGTGGGAGAGGAGTGGCTGCGGGGCTATGCGGGTGGGTGGAGGAGGGATTGGTGGGGTGTGGTATGGGAAGAGCAATGGATCAGCCCGGGCCGCCCATTTCCCGCTCCGTCCTTTAGGAGGGGTGTTCCTTGGCCTCTAGCTTGGGGCGAGAGCGATATGCGTGGCGAGGCTGCCAAAAGGGTGGACGAGGGGGGACAGAGTCGGGGGGTAGTTCAGAGGTCTTTCACACGGCACGTGTCTGATTGTCAGGTACGTTTCTGCGATTCCACGGTTCGTTAGTGGTTTGTTGGTTGGGTTGATTGGATTCGGGGTGGGCACCCGAGCTATAGATTTACAGATGGCGTACTTGTAATCTGTATTTCAAGGTTCATGTCAGTGATGGATGCGCGATCCCTACGCGCCCTCTACCTCACACACATACGTACTGCGCTGGTTACTAGGGACCAAGGTGTCGTAGGAACACACGATTTGGGTTCGTGTGGCGTTCTTTGCTCGGCTTTGCCAGCTTTTTTGCTTCTCTTGGCAGCACACGTGCAGTATGCTATAGATGTAAACGAACCAAGTGGAAAAGGCGTGCCCGACCAGCCAGATCTCGGTGCGCTCCGAAGCAAGGGATTACGAATCCTTGACACCGGGGTTGTGAAAGAGCATGACTACACCGGCTATGTCACCTTACAGCCGGATGGGTCATTTGGGAGCCCGAGAAACTCCCCTGACAAGAATCCAGAAATATCGGAAATGGCCCCTCCGGTTTTCATGAACGGACTACGGCGTGCCGGACACCGCAAGAAGTGCCAACCTCTGAGCCCTATCTTCGAATGATTTGTTTACAGGGCCTTCGGGTTGTTGCCATGATTCATGGACGGAGCCTGATTGACAACATACATGCTTCTGGAGTGCAACGAATAACGCAAATTTAGCCCTCTAGAAGTGGGAGGCCAGGTATTCCTTGAAGGCGACTTGACTTCCGTATGCGGGCGATTGACATTTATTTTTAATCAACCCATGCACTCTTCCAAGCGTTTCTCATGCGAAATTCACGCTCCTGTAAGTTGCATTTTTTATCAATCAATTAAATTTTTATAAGATTTTATGATGGCACGTAGTGTTTCCGGCCTTGCCAATTGATTCGGTCCAACGTAAGACAGCCTCATGCTCACGATCGGACAACTTGATGCGTGTAAAGCCCTTAATGTTCAAGAATAATTTTAGTCCGCAAAAATAGCTGAGAATTTTTGTAATGAACCCATATCCTATATGACTATAACGCAGTATGACGATGCGTCGTTTTAGCACTCTGCACCTTGCGCTGCTCGCGCACATCGTTCTCTCACCTCCTTGGCTGGTTCCATGCGAAAGCTATTATCCAGCTGCGTTTGACGTCGTAACCATGGCCCTGAAGCCAACATGTGTCAACCGTCAAATGATCACGTCCGTGAACTCTTTTATGCTGCCCAAGCCGAGGAGCATCCATGTCGTAGCTGCACGCGGCTGCGATGCATTCCGAACCTTTGCTGAAAACGTCGTCTGCCATCTTGTATGTGTTGCGCAGATTGATTCCGTTACCAGCGCTCCGGTGACTAGTTTGTTGGTGCGCAGGAAGACACCCTTGTACCGCACATAACAGCTGAGGCCGTATCTGAATGGCTTGGTGGTCGGTTCCAGGTCCGGTCGGAAACGGACGCAGAGCACGTAAAGCGGAGGAGCACCTGGTACTTCCAGCAGTTCATAAAGCTTGCGGTCGCGGCCCACATCCCGGGGCTTGCCGACTACTTCCTCATTTTCGACAGTGAGTAGCGGCCAGTAGCTAGTCGCCACAGCAGATAAGAGATACTTACAGTCTGCCTCAATCCGTCCATCCTCTATTTATCTCTCAATAAGCGCGTCCGTTCTGCCTCGCGCCTTCTCATGGGTCAAACCCAGCCAATTAGCTAATCAGCTGTCGGCAAATAATGTTTCGGGACGGTTGTGAACCCGCCCAAGCCGACAACTTTCCAACGCTATTTATTATTACCTGTTCTATCTATGAGCCCTGGGACTCTTCTAACCTAAAATCAGCCCGCCCACGCAAATCACCATGTAACCATGTAAATCCATGGACGTCCGGGTGGATCCATTCCTTGGGGCCGCCGGCTTGCAGGTGATATGATCGCTCTTCGCCCGCTGACCTGGTTCCTTCCCCTGGACTCTTCTGAAACTGGCAGCACTGTTGAAAATAATAATAATAATGATAACGACTCCAAAACCGACTTATCACAACCGCCATTACCATTATCGCCATCGTCATCATCATCGTTATCGAAGCCCTACCCCGTTGTGCGCCCGGTACCCGGCAAGAGTGAGGAGGGCTGCGTCAACCAGCACCCTTTCCGCATGCTCGTTAATGTCGGGGGCTTCCTACCAAAATACGGCTATATGCGCACGTACGAGCATTTAACGGGCAGACAGATCATCTACGGGCACGACAACAAGAGTCTAGTCACGCACAGCGCCTTGGTGTACAAGCCGTACATGGCGGAATTCCTGGCCAACATCACGTACGACAAGTACACGGGCATACCTCATGGCTGGGCTCTGTCCGTTGCGGACGCTGTCAGCAAGCTATGGGTGGGTCTACCGAGCTCATGACCTGGGTTGGTTGTGTCTGGGGCGGGATCTTGCCTTGACTAATTGATCAAGCCACTCTTATAAGAGTGGCGCTGTGGGCGAGGTGTCCGAGCCGTTGCCATCTATCTTAAGTTCCGGACATGCGTTCCGGATTCTGAATCTACATCCAGATCTGGATCTAGATCTGGATCAGGTGGATTGGTGCTGGATATGGGGTTATGAGCTATGTTGCGTTCGGCCGGGGGTGTAGAGTTCGTATCGTGTTATCTAATCCATCTTAGTGAAGATCCAGCTAGCAGCAGCACAGTAGGTAATAAAGCAAGACAGGGCTATTTCCTTTAGGATTTTAATATTTTTGAACATTTCGCGTTGTATTCGTCCATCCCCATGTTTTACTGAACTTGGCTTTTCCACTCCTCCATCCGCAAACACCCAGTGTGTGCTTCTATGTGTGTATGTATGTGTTTGTAAAATTAAAATTGAGTAATCCATGTGTGTGTATGTATGTGTGTATGTATGTGTGTACAGGACGTCGGCGAGGTGCTTGTGGGTTTCTCGGAGTTCTGGTCGTACCTGTCGTGGGCACAGGTAGGTTGTTTGCATGTATTATGTGCGCGTGTGGGGCCACATACATACGAACATACATACACAGGATACATACCAGCAAGAAGCGGGAGGAAGAGAGGCGGCCCACGGTCGCGGTGAGGACTTCATTCTGGCGTACGTACGTATGTACGTATGTACGCAAGCATGTGCAATCACGATGTGTCATATCGTCGTGCGCTAGGGCAAGTTTATTGCTTGCGACTCGCCAGCCCAGCCCAACCAGCAGTGACCCAGCGACCCAGCTAGCCAGGACCAGTCCACCCCGGCTCTCCCGCTGCCACACCACCGGAACCGGAACCCTGGTGCTAAAAAAAATGTAATGGCAGTAGCAGCAGTTGCAGCAGTAGCAAGAGCAGCAGTAGCGGTTTCCGTTTTTCTACGATATGTAGAGGGTGCGTTGGGTGAAAAAGGTCCGTGTATGCGGCCCGATCATCATTCACGTGCCTGTCGTCGTGACCCTTCTCGCTGCCGACATTGATGCCGTACCTGCCGTACCTGCAGGACAACTACCCGTGTGTATTCCGGCAGGCTGAGGAGCGCACCTGGACCAGGACCCCAGTGCAGCTCCCGCGCACCCTCCCGATCGCCGTCAGGGTGGACGAGCACACGTACATCGGCATATGCTGCCCCACGTACGTATGTACGGGAAGGAATGTACGATAAAAATTGCCCGAAGATCCGTCGTTACGGTAGCTCACTCGGAATTATGAATTTTGTTTATTAATTATGTTTGCCGCGCGTGCGATAGGTGGTAGTACATGCATCTACATCTACACGCACCCGAGGCCGCGACACCCGAGGCCGCGACTGCAGGAGTGGCTGTCCCTACTAGGGACAGCCATTCCTCCCTCCGTCTAACTAACCAACCAATCAGCCGATCCCGTGCACATTGCTCCAGGAATTTTAACACGCACGCGCATTGTACATTTATGTATAACATTATACGGTAGCTAGCGCTGCTGAATTAATACTCTTTGACTCGTATATCTTGACTGGTTGGTGGTCCGTTTCATGCGGACCGACATATATACATACCCACCTACGTACCTGCTGCAGGACAGACAATATCCGGGCCACCCGCGAGCACGGCTACTACTTCACTGGTTACGAGCTGGGTCACATGCACCACTGCAACTACCAGCATGGGGCCTTTCAAGAGGGCTACGCGGAGTGGTACCAGCCGGTCTGATGGAATGAGTAGTAGGGCGATGGATATGAACAGCAGCTGCAGATGAGCTGATGGATGGGCATGCAGGACGGGGCGGATGCGACGCAGCAGTAAGCGGAAGCTCGCCCGCCTGCGTTGTGCCCAGCCCAGCAGTTTGTATATACGTGTATATCTTCCAGCTGGGTGGATGCCGGGCTGGCTGGCTGGCTGTCTCGCGGGGTAGATGGGCAGTGGAAGAGAGAGAGAGAGTATATATGTGTGTGTATATGTATGCGTCCGTGTGTTTACAAAAGCAAACGTTTTGCGGAGGCGTCGCAACTGCTGTTACTGTACTACTATTACTTTTTGTTATAATAACAAGTTTATCTTTGGGTTTCGGAGAGGTTGTTAAGTAAGCAGCAGCAGGCTTCGTGATGAGCTGTAGCGTGTAATAGCTGGCCGCTGAAAAGGCCTCTCGAGATGCTGGTCGAGATACGTTTCGCGTGTATTTGTAGTTGATATGTGTGCCGTACTGTGTACCAGCTACTATATTGCGCTAATTTTATTTTATCATCTTTATCATCAGCAGTAGTGCTCAGGAAAGACACCAGGACATATATACAGCAGATTTGAAATGCGAGCTTGCGTAAGTAAGCTGGGTTAGTTGGGCGTAAGGCCCAATGCGTAACTGTTAGACTAACTGTTTCGCAACGGCCCGTGTCCTCAGGGCCGTCATTTATTGCGCGCATTAAGCTGGTTAGCTTATCTTGTTTTTGTTGTTCAGCGCGCGCTGATCAACAAAACAGGTCCCGCGCCTTCGGCGCGCTTTCTGTTACTATACCGCTGTGCCTTCGGCTCGTCAGCGAGACCCATCGGGTAGAGTGCAGTGGAGAATATAAAGCACTAGCACCATAGAGTTAGCCCACCTTATTGAAGCACCTTTAGTAGTGCTAGTGGCGGCGCATGTCCCGGAATCGCTAGGCATGACTCCGCTGGTGAAGGCAACTCACAGCTATCCTACATAGCTAACTGGAATGTCACAGACTGGCATTTCCTCGAGGGCTTCTGCGACGCAGTTTATGCCCCCTGCTTTCTCCGGAGCGGGTCAACAACTCCCGCCCACCCCGGACCCAACAAGCTTGCCCCTGCAGCTACAACACTAAATGTCCGCTTGACGACGTATTTCATCAAGCTCATCCCCGAGGTTTGGGCGCGACGCTGAAGGTTTGCTCTTCAGCGGATCAGGAATTCGACGTCCGACCCAAACCGGTGGTGGCTATGTGTGCACTTCGTCCCATCCCTTCCGCGTGGCGACGGGCTCTACGACCCCAGGCGTGGAGTTTCCGAGGCAGCACGAGTAGTCCGATATGTCCACCACCTCCGTGCCCCTGCATGCTAGGGCCTCGGCGCGGCTGGCCGCTTGGAAGGCAATTGGAGCAGATGCGCGCACATTGCACGTCTTGAAGCATGGTGTCCCGGTGGAGTTTCGAGGTAACCGCCCCCCGCCTGCTTTTGACCTGCCAAGTTTTCCTGCTACAGACGAGCAGAGCCGTTGGTGGTTGGAGAAGGAGGAGCCTCGCCTGGTGGCGCTCGGGGCCATCTCGCGGGTAGACCCCTCCCGTGCGGTTGATCATGTGGTGAACGCCTTTTGTGTCCCGAAACCGGACAGTGGTTCTTGGCGTTTGGTCGTCAACCTGAAGAGGATGAACGTAGCGCAGAAAGCTTACAAGTGCCGGTATGAAACCCTCCGCACCCTGCGGCGTATGGGCCTCGAGGGCTCCTGGATGGTGAAGGTTGATTTGGCGGACGCCTTTTACCACATCCCTATTCGCCCAGCGGATCGGCGTTTCTTCACTTTTCGTTTTTGTGGTGTTCTGTACGAGATGAACGCCCTGCCTATGGGGTGGCTAAATAGTCCGTATTGGTTTACGAAAATCATGCGCAATGTGGTGCGTTTTTGGCGGGATCCTTTGGCTGCGTCGGGTAAAGGTCGCAAGCGTCTCTCGCCCCCGCTCCCGCCCCACCAGTTTTTTCCCGTTTCCCGGACAGGCCGTCCTTCTCGTCCGGGTGCGCGAGTGCTACCGTATTTGGATGACTTCCTCTTCGTGTTTAGTTCTGAGGAGCAAGCGCGTCTTGGTGCGCGCTGGGTGCGTGAGAGTATCGAGTTCTTGGGGTTGTCGTGTCACCCCACCAAGTGCCAGTGGGAGCCGTCGCAGTCAGTGTACCACTTAGGCATTACGATCAATACGGCAGCTGGTGTGTTTGAGGTGCCTAAGCAGAAGCTCGCCAAATTGCGGCGGCTGGCGATCGGGTTGCGGATCACGGCAAAGAAAAATCGGCGTCTTGTCCAGAAGCGTGAGCTGGCTAAGTTTTGTGGTTTTGCGCAGAGTGTCAAGTTGGCCCTTACCCCAGCGCCTTTATTTCTCCGCAATTTTTACGACGACATTAAGCAACCTGTTGGCTGGTCCGGTCGAGTTCGCTTGTCCCGTGGGTCGTTACGTGACTTAGATTGGTGGGCAGACATCCCTACCCACCACTGCTCGGCGGCTATTCACCAGGGGCCTGCTGCAGTTGAGCTTTCAGTGGATGCATCGCGCCATTCGTGGGGCGCGGTCCTGCATGGTCGTGTGGCGCGCGGTTATTGGTCGGCACCAGAGCTCTACGAGCACATCAATTGGAAGGAGTTGCGCGCTGTCCGTCATGCTTTAGAGTCCTTCCTCCCGTTCGTTCAGCAGCGTGTTGTGTTAATTAGGGAGGACAACACGTGCACGCAAGCAGTGCTAGGGCGTCTTTCCTCGCGCTCGGCAGCTCTGCATGCCGAACTAAAATTATTATGGGAATTCATGCAGAAACATAGTATTGTTCTGCAAGTCGAGCGTGTGGCTAGTGCTGACAACGAGGCAGATGAAGCCTCGCGTTGGGTAGACCGTGATGATTACCGCTTGCATCCCCGGTTTTTCCGCCTTTTGGAGCACCACTTCGGTCCGCACCATGTCGACTTGTTTGCCACGCATATTAACACGCACCTCCCGGTTTTCTTTTCTCGCCACCATTGTCCGGGTTCATCGGGGGTCAATGCTCTCTTGCAATCTTGGGCAGGGCTTAATGCATATGGCTGCCCACCCTTGGACCCCGACTTCTTGCTCGCTGTGGTGCAGAAAGTGCGCGAGGAGGGAGCGTGCCTCACCCTAGTCGTGCCGTACTGGACGGCCCAACCTTGGTGGCAACAGTTGATGGAGTTGGCGGTTGACCTTGTGTTCCTGCCGTCCAATACGGAGCTGTTTGCGCCGGGCGAGGGCGGGTCGAGCACCTATCTACCACCCCCTTCCTGGCAGGTCGTGGCAGTGCGGGTGCAGTCGTAGAGTGGGCGCTTTGCTTAGCACTCGGTCGTTCCGTGAGGCGCTGCAAGTTCGGCCGTGTGTGTGCCCCGCTAGGAGCGCTTTCCTAGCATTTCCCCTTCCCCGTGGGCCGCGTTATTTGTTACAGGGGCAGTGGGACCATCTTTGAGGGAACGCCGTAGTTGCTTTGCGCCAGGGGAGCGGTTATGCAGTTATGTGGAGCGAATAGGTAGGGATTTGTCGTGTGTGCGCTCCTTAGGCACCGCGCAGGTAGTTGGTTTTTTCGTCGCTTGGTGTTAACCTGCGTTTGGTTTCTCGTGATTTCGGAGCGGTTTTCACTTGCTTGGTATCCGGTGGTACCGCTGGTTCCAACCCCGCTGGTTTTGGGACTTAATTCGAGTAGTACCTTTGGCGCGGAATAGGTCCCGGTTTCTCGCTGGATCTGCAATCCGTTGCGACATCCCCGGTCTTTGATTACCTGTTGGTATCGCAGCTGTCGCTCGCCGGCCTAGGGTTGGTCCATTCCGCATGTCTTTGCCGGTTGCCAGGTTACCTTGTCCCAGGGTTGGTGCTACGACCTGGCTGTTTTGCATCGCTGTGTTTGTGCGTTTTCTGTGTCGCGGTAGGCTGGGGCTCTTTATGACTCCGTTTATGTCGGGCTCCTGTGAGGTCAGTTCCTAGCTGCCAAGAGTTTTATCCAAGCCCGTGCTGCTCAGCCTGATTTTCAGTGCCGTGAACTCCGTGAGCTCCGTGTATGTCTTGCTCGGTTAACCAAGAGCGCCCTGTGCTGGAGACAGCCCCTGCTGGCGGCGTTATTTATAGTAGTTGGGTGCATTCGCAGTGCTCCGTGGCTCTGTCGGACTCTCTTTGTGTTGGCCTTTATTGCAGGTGCTGTGTGGATTCTTTGAGCAGTTGGCCGGTGTACCTGTTGGTTCGGAGGTGGCCCCGACCTTGCTTTGTTGTGCTGGGTTTCGTCATCCGTATCCCTGCTGTCAGTGCCCTGGGCGCGTGGACCGGTCGTTATTGCAGAGCCGGTTTTCAGTGCCAGCCCTAGTTGGCCGTTTAGTCAACCCTTAGCGGGCACATGTTTGGCATTCTCGCGTGTCTTTCGTCCATTCCTTCAGTGGGCGTCCGTCAGCGTTTGTTGAGGGATCCGTCGCGTTTGTGGCCGGTGGGTCAGTCTGTGCGCGGTTGGAGAGCGCTGGTTTGACCTCGTCCTTGTGGTTTTGGCAGCGTTCTGTTTGTTCGCTCTTTTGCCTGTGTAGAGATGGCGTGTCCGCCGTCCTTGCTGCTGGAGTATCGTTTGGAGGTCGTTGAGGCGTTTTGCTTGGGGAGCTTTATTTCGTGTCGGTGTGTGTGCCTGTCTGGCAGCTCTCGCGTCCTTTGTCCCTCGCGGCCCGTCGCGTTGCGCTGTTTTGGTGCTCAGTTTGTTTGTTATTTCCGCTAGAGGGGGTATCTTCTCCTTTGGCATTTACCTATGGAGCAACAACTAATGCGAGCTTGCGTAAGTAAGCTGGGTTAGTTGGGCGTAAGGCCCAATGCGTAACTGTTAGACTAACTGTTTCGCAACGGCCCGTGTCCTCAGGGCCGTCATTTATTGCGCGCATTAAGCTGGTTAGCTTATCTTGTTTTTGTTGTTCAGCGCGCGCCCGCCCGCCCGCCCGTTTCTGGCGCAGCCTCGCGTTAGTTCCGTTGCGGTGTCTC